CCTTCTTTATTTTAACATGTTACTGTAACTTATCCCCAGCAAAAATCACTCAGTGCTTAAATGAAATGTACCTGCAACAAAAATAATAAAATGCCAGCAGGTGCAACTTACAGTAGCAATTAACTTTGAGATTACAATTATGTAACAGTAATCAAACAGTCAGTTTCATGTTCATGCCCAGGGACTCCGGTACTCCAGTCCATTGTAACGGTTTAGTGTTGTTTAAAACGGGCAACAAAAAACCTGTAATTAGTTTTGAAACACTGCTGCAAAACGAGTTGAATGGTGATGTTGCACGCTTTATTACCCACCTTCGAACCTGTCTTGCATGCAACAAATCAGGTTGTAAGGTCTTTTTACGTAGGTGGTAAAACACGCAACATCGCTATTGAACTTGTTTGAAGCAAAGTGGCAAAACAAGTTGCACGTTTTTTGTTGCTTGTTTCTTCCGTACCTTAAGTCAAAATATGCACTGTGCATCCCACAGGACGCCAGTCAACTTTCTTCTCATGAATCTTGCCATTGCTGACATGGCTGTAGCAGTGTTCTTTGCACCAAGGTATCTCTTCATCCACTCTATAACTCACCCAGAGGGAACAGCTGGATTACTTTTATGCAAACTATTGACGAGCGGAAACCTCGCCTGGGTTGGAGCTTCCTCTTCGGTCGTCACCTTGGTTAGCATCGCTTTCGAGCGCTATTATGCAGTGCTACGTCCTCATGGAACCAAGGGAAAACTTACAAAGAACAAAGTTAAGGTGAACTCGCATCCCTCTTTTTCTAAGTTCATTATCATAATGATGTCCTATGAGGGGCGTCGATCATCACTGTGATGAAGAATCGGGGGGTACTCAACAAAGCTTTTTGCGGGGAGGCTTCGCCCCGACATCCATCCCGTCCCATTCCTTTTTATATACCATTTTGACAGACGGAAAAGGCACTCCTTTCGTGTACCTTCTAGTGATAAATAGTACCCCTTCCACATACCCGGTTTAGAATCTTTTGCACCCCTAGCTTCTAAATACTGCTAAATGCACTGTCTCAAAAAGTTTTCACGACCCTCTCAAAGCCATAAAATGCATCTCTTGGTCCTTTTGGGCCTTTTTTCAGACCAAAGTGACAGAATTCTATACTTTTGCTAGTGAGCTCCTTACCCTTTCCTATGCCTGAAGCCTGATTAACTGAGGTACCCCTTTCGGTCGGAACCCCCCCGTATGAGTCATTACCGGGGGGCCCCCCCCCCGGGTGAGGAACACGTTTGTATTTCCTTAAGAATGTATACCAGTATCTGATCAAACCTTCAAGAAGATGCCATTCATGGGTTTGTCTTACTAGTTTATTAATCAGTTCGGGCCTTGGACTAACGATCATCCAAGACATACTATTCTGGCCCTTTCCTCCGAGCTTTGCGACGTTCTGAGAGACACCGGTATCTATAAACTCTATATCTATGAACAAAATTCATGTTTGGTTTTGCTGAACTTGTCAACCCTCAGGGGAATGTAACTCATAATTTATAATGATCAGCTTATCGCCCGCCTCAAAATCTCGGGTGGGCAGAAAACAGTACCAATCGTCTTCCCTACGTAATTTCAGGTGATAATCCCCTGTTCTTGGATCTTTGGAGTGGTAATCAATATCGTGGGGATCCTGTGTGATAACGTAAACGAAGAGAAAGCCTGTGCTCACATATGTCCCGAAGAATGGATGAACCGATTGTATAGTTCAACTTGGTTTCTGTTCGTAGCATTTTTCCCAGTCTGTTTGATGGCTACCCTTTACGCCCGAGTCGTGTACGCTTTATGGTTTAAAAGCGAGAATTCTACTGAAAACAGTGGCAGACAACAGGTCTGGAAACATGGTCATATTGTCCTGTTTTCATGTATTTAAAGCTTTAGATTCTAGGACGAGGACAACCACGAGTTCCGCCAGCTTTTCTCAGTACTATTAAGTAGTACGCGCGCTTGAACCAGGGTCATTTTGGCGGGAAAACGTGATAGCCTTCATCATTGTACTACGGGTTTTAGCGAAAACTAATGAAGTGACGGAAACAAGTTATCAAAATGTTAGAAGTTTTAAAAGTTTGCGAACTGGAGAGGGATTAACTTCCTCAATAAAAATAACCGTGAACCTTTTCTGGTTAAAAAAAAAAAACAATAAAAATAACAATAACGCTCTCTGCGGTGTCTAATTTTTAAGATCACATTCAAGTTATTTCTCGTCCTCTCGTTGTCTCCCTCGCCCTCCTCGAATCTAAAGTTCTCTAATTTAACTGCATCGCTACGAAAGGCTAAAGGACCGATCAACGATAATTTTTTTATGGAACTGACCAGAGCATTTGCTCTATTTTGCCACAGGTTCTAATTCAAGCCTCCTGCCATTCTATTAAATTAGCCTCTCTGTATAAGGCGCCAATAATTATCAGCCCGTAGCCTCTAATAAGCTCCCATCTACTATAAAGAAAACGAGTACTGTATAACGCTTACGTCTTACAAATAACTTTTAGTAGACGATTTCGAGACAATGACAATTCTGACAATTTGTCTCTCTTTTGCAGGGTGTCATGAAGATAAGAAAGCGAGTGACATTAATGGTGTTAATTGTCAGTGTGGTATTTGCTGTTTGCTGGCTTACAGACGCCTCTAACTTTATTTTGTCCGATTTTTCTGTCGTACGCACTTCCCTTCCAATAGCGTTAACCAACACATTGATTCTGTTCAATTCCGCTATCAATCCGATTGTGTATGCTTTGGTCAACCAGCGATTCAGAAGGAAGTTCAAAAGTATGATCTGCTGTTTTAGTCGTCGAACAAGAAATATAGTAAATCCAACATTTCCATTAACCAATCCCACTCAGACGGCACTTTCACGTGACTGATTAAAACGTTGGTCCCTTTAAAAAATGAGAAGGGAACTGGGGTCCGTTTCTCGAACGTCCCGATAATTAACGGGCCCGGTAAGCTGTCTCCGTTTACCTTAAAGATCGAGGTTTCAATAGTTTTGCATCTAACGTGATAAAACTGTCAGTTAGTGAAACAAAATGGAGCAGTTTGTTAGCCAGGACCCGCGCTCTTATTCTTTATATTTTGATTTGAATATTTGGTTTCGGGCCCGTAAAGTTACCGGGACTTTCGAGAAACGGGCCCCAGGGCCGTGTGAATTGGTTTCGCAAAGGCTTCTGGAACTGTTACTGGGGAGATCGGAAAAAAATGGCCAATAGCGGACCGGCGCGTCCCCAGTAAACGGTTCCATAAACCATCAAGAAACTGAATCTGAATTACGGGATACATTTCGACTCCAGTTCCCATCTCGCTTGGAAAATGGCGAATGCTAGTAATTGCATTTCAAATAAATAATAATAATAAGATAGAAAGAAAAAAAAAACTAAATAAAGTAAGTCAAAATAAAGTATAGGTAAAAAAAAAGCCACGATGCAAGTATTCTTGGTTTGCAGCATGACAAGGCGCCTATGTTGTTTATCAATACAGTGGAACCTCGATATAACAAAGTTCTGGGTACAAGGAACAATTTTCCTTACCTCAGATATAATAAGATATATGAAAAAGAACCTCGATATAACGAAATCTCGTTACAGCGAACGAATCCTAACAATGCGATCACCTCTGTATTACGGCCAATTCTTTTGGCCCGGCAAAAAGGCCATACATTTTAGAGTTTCCTTTTAAAAAACTTTTGTTAATGAAGTCAGCCATTAAAAGAGCCAACGGCTACATTTTTCAATTCCAAGCAGTAGATTCTTTTAAAATTCCACCTCGTAAATAAAGCCTCTCATTGGAAATTTAGAAGATTGACATGCCTGTGACAAGCCGCAATTTCACTGACCTAGCAAGCTAAAAGCTGTTCCTGTATTGCTTTTAGACTACACTAAAATGTATTTTTGATGGTTTAATGGCCCATTTTTACTATAAGTGTTTTATTTACTAAAGAAAAGTTTCAAGTAGGTTTTGCAATTACTGTAGCGGTATCTATATTCCGGTTTGGCTAATTGTTTATTAGGAAAAACAGTTGTTCAGGAAGTGCGATTGCAGGCGCACGTCAATGCAGGGTTTATGATGCATTTGTCATATTCAACAAAAATTCCGGTTTGAAATTTCGGAAATTTCACGTGCCCAATGGAACGGTACATGTTGCGCGCGTTTGTTATTGTTCTTTAGACTGCGAGCAGCTCTCTTTTGCTCGAAAATCTGTAAGCGAGAGGATTTTAGCAGCGAAGTCGCGCGAGTTGCGAGGGCGCAAGTTCGCAACGCGACTCTGCTGCTCAAATACTGTCGTTTAAAGATTTTCGAGCAAAAGAGAGACTGCTCGAAGACTAATCGTTCTTGAAAGAGGGAGATAAAAGAGCGGTACTGGGGACAAGAATTATGTCAAATGGAAAGGGACATTTCGGTCCGACTGTCCGAAATGACCAGACCGGTCAAAGTGGAACACCATCAAAGCTGGTCCCGAATATTCCGGTCGGACCAAACCGAAATTTGTCCGTTCCATTTGATGTAGCATACGAAATTTCCGGAATTTTGTGTTGAATGGAAAGCGCCCTTAATCAACGGAGTTCCACCGTGACATGTTATTTCCCCAACATTAAAGAAATCGAGGGGGGGGGGGGGACCAATTTTAAGTAATGATATTTTTCGGGAAAAGTTAATTAAACGAGTATTCGATTCACGAGAACGAAGATTGTAAGAACTACCAAAAAGCAAAAAAAACAAAAAGAAAAGATCGTCACGTTGTTTCCTCAGACAAGAACCTTTGCTCTGCTTTGTCTCCTCTCACCCAGGTCTACATATATATTGATCCAAAGGTAAAATACAACGATATATAGCGTTTGCAGATATCAGTAATTTATTTCCCATACGTACAAGGCCTCAACTGTCGACTACCGTATGCTACATTCCACACTTTTTACGTTAGCTTGGGAGGCCTGTGATAAAATGGTTTTTGAGATCACGTGACTTTCCTACCCCCGTTATCGACTGGGGCTAGTTTCTTTCTGGAAGAAGGAAACAATATGGCGGAACGTAGAGAAAAAGGAAGTTTCCGTCAGCTTTCTGAGTCCTCTGCAGGCTAGGCTGCCGAGCGGGGAGCCTCATGGTTACGGAAATAATATAGGTAGAACTCTATACTTATGAGAAAAGAGACTTGATTATGTTTTGTTGGGGGAAAATCGCTGAAGGACAGCCTGGATTAGGGGAAACGGAAGACGAGCCAGTCTTGACACCGCGAAATGTCGATGTCAGTTTTGGCTCGCTATCAGAAGTTAAAGACATTGCATGTGGCTGGGAGCACACAGCTGTTTTAAAAAACGACGGTGTTGTTTACACCTGTGGTAACAGAGAAAATGGACAACTTGGACATCACAGAGAAGGAAATAAGTTAGGTTAGAATACAATGTAATTTCTTCAAGTACGTTGTTTACTGTGCAGGGGACGTTTCAGTGTTTAATTAGAATATTTACAGCGCAGTGACAAATTTTGATTTTTTGAAGTATTGCGTAATTAGCTTAAGTGATAATTTGAACAGCAAATAACTAGAAATTAGTGTACACTGCTACCCAACAGAAAAACGGACAATTATTGTTTTAATACATTGATCAAATATTTTTACACGTAGGTACTTGCAGAAATTGGTTATGACGATTAGAATGGTCAGTAAATTTTTACTAAACGTACGTGCAGGATATTAAACGCTTAACCCGTCAGTTCAACAAGTCCTAACAGTGATAAGTATCAGTTTTCTTCTTAAAATTCATAACATTTTCAGAAACAGAAAAGATTATATTCGAGAATTATCAAAAGATCAACTAGGGGAAAATGTTTTGATCTTTTATAAAATTCTCTTAATTAATTCATTAAAAGAAAAATGTATGGATATCAGTTTGGAGAATATGTGTACAGTCGATTTTAGGTCCTGAGGGAAACATTTAGTTTTGTTTCCTGACTCTAACTTCAATGTTAAAAACATTATTTTGGGGGAAAAAAACTTAACTAGTTTGTAGCCAGGGACCAGTAATTAAGTGATTTGTTTTGTAAGTTGTAAATGCTTGAATAGGCAGTCTAGCCTTTAAGTACAAGTCCTGCTATAATCTCAGCTCCAACTTGGGTATTTTATTACAGCCAACCAAAGGTAAGATGCTAGAAAAACTGGGCAAGCGTGCCTTACAGGCGGCAGCACCACATTTATGGAACGAGCTGCCTTTACAACTTCTAAATATGAATCCTCTGGAAATTTTAAGAACTCAACCAAGACATTCCTTTTTAGACAGTGTTTTTGAGAAGTGAATTTTAATTTGTAATATATCATCATGTGATTTTAATACTAGTTATGAGTTATTATATTATTAGGCACGTGTTTTTGTTTTTTTATTATCAACTTTACGGTTGACTATTATCATATTTCATAGATATTTGAACAATAATTTTGTAAAGTACTACTGATTATGTAAATAGCACCATAGAAATAATAAATTATTTTTAATTATTGTTTATATATCATTCTCCAGTGATTTTTTTCACACTTGTTTATTGAACACAAATTTATTGTTTAATTTTGTTCCACAGCTCGGGTTGATTCCCTTGAGACTTGGACCATTAAACAAGTAGCTTGTGGGCAGATGCACACTTTAGCTGTCACTAACAAAGGACTTGTCTTTGCTTGGGGTGACAACACCAAAGGACAGCTTGGTCTTGGAAGTTCAGATACCACCTCTCATAAACATCCAAGGTGCGTTGTGAATCATTTTTTTTGTTCATTTGCTTGTAGTTTTTCAGGACCCTTGCTTCCTTTTGAACCTTAGCAAAGCAATTAAAATATCTGGAGGAAGTGGGGGTTGTGAGGAGTTGGGTTTGTGAGAAGAAAGAATCTCCCCTGCCCTGCCCTAACCTGCCTAGCAGTTACATTTTTGTTAGCAATTAATTTAAACAATCAAATTGGGATCATAATAATCTCATTGTTCACTCACCTGAGGAAGAGATATCACTTTTTACTTTACTTATGTTCAACATATATTTAATTGCCCAGGGTGCATTATTATATTGCGTCGCTCAAGATATGCCAATATACAGTGCTACCCAACAGTATTTTGTTTCTTGGTTTTATACTCACAAACTTTAAACTTAGGGTTGAATACATGTAATTCCATTTTAGCTTTAGAGACCCCTCCCCCACAGAATTTCCAACAACTGAGTTGGGAGTATTGTTAATTGCTTGAGAGAGGTGACAGGTTTTTTTTTAATCTGCCCATTGTTAAAATTAACAATTTAAATAACTATAGCTGAAAATCATCACTTGTATCAACAGTGTTCATTGCCGTTTTTTATTGTCTAGAATTGTCAAGCATCTCCAGACAAATGGTTTAATGGTGACACAGGTAGCCTGCGGAGCAAGACATTCCCTAGCACTCACAGCAGGTTATACATGTACTCCTTATTCCTGTCCAATAACTGCCAAGGACGCAGGGAGTGAGAAACTCTCAGAGCCATTTTAACCTTTTGTCGTCATCCTCGACTCATATACATAAGACAAAATACCTAGTACATTGTACTGTCATCATCGGTGTCCATCGCAGAGAGAGTATGAAATTTATGCAGCATGAATAATGCTACTCGTGCATGTATAGCCCTTGAAGATGTCCATGTAAACATTGGTTAGAACATAATTTTCTACAAACATGTACAGGTGTAGCTTGTGTGCATTATTTATATGTTATTGTCCATATTAAGCCTTGTTATGTGTGTAGTTTATTCATGGTATTGTTACATCTTTTAGGTGGATATTTGTTTGCTTGGGGTGACAATAGAAATGGCCAGCTTGGTATTGGCAATTCAAGTCTCGTACATAACCTCCCAGAACATGTTTCTTCTTTGGTTGGTGTGCCGTTTGCCTTGTTATGTGCTGGTGGCTATCACAGCTTTGCATTGTCTCTTTCTGGAGCTCTCTTCAGCTGGGGAAGAAACAAGTATGTTTGCTTGGCTGACTCTACCCTTGTAGTTATGGTACTTTGGCCTGGTAATGCAGTCCAAGTCTTCGCTCAAAATTCATTTTTCATTGTGAAAGAGTCATTTTAGAATGCTATACACTGCATGCCATAATGGAAAAAAAAGCATTATTATGAGTTAAACAGTAAAAAATTTAAAATATTTATTTCGTTAATTAAATTAATATGTATTTATTCATATTCACTGATTATCTATTTTTTCAGCTTTGGTCAACTTGGTGTAAATGATGATAAAGGTAAGATTTATATAATGTCAAATTATGACTTTGATCCACCTAATGCAAACTATACAAGGGTATCATAATGAATATATCATACTTATAACTGTTATTATACATAAACAAAGCTTAATTCAGAACTAAAATAAAATATTATTCTAAAGTAAAGCTCATCATTATTTTTGGCATCATCTTGCCGTGTGTTCCTTTCAGATCGTTTCATGCCAGTGCTTGTTAAGTCTTTACGATCCCAACGAGTAAGACATGTAGCTGCAGGGGAGTATCATACTGCAGTTCTAACGGAGGTCAGTACACAAAAAGAAGCTTGTTCCTTACAGCATTGATCACAGTTTTCTCACCTTATGTTGGCTTTCCAAAAGTAAATGTTCAATTTTTGTGGAGAGTACCTTGGTTTAATCATAGTCTCTCCAAATGGAGTTCGTTGGAGAAACTATGGTTTAATTGATTAAACTGAATTGACGCTTTCACTCCTAATAGAACTGTCAAAGTTAAAATTCACCAAAAAATCCAAATATCTTTTTGTAAAATTCTACCAAGTAATTTAGTGTCAAACTCAGAAAACAGTGAAAACCTGAAGAATTTCAGGAATGTTGATTATGTCATGTCCAATCACAGCAAAGTTCATCACACACAAGTAAACCTCAAAACCGCAAACTAATTATTACTGTTACTTTGTTGCAGTTTAGTTTTCTCATGCCTTATTGAGTTTTCCCTCGCAACACAACATTCCATAAATATTTCTGGTTTTCATGGTTTTGTGAGTGTCACAGATTTAGTACTGTGTTAAAGTTTTACCAAAGAGGATTTTGTTTGAGGAGACACCGTAACTTTCTGTCTACAGATTCCAAGGTTAGAGTGACAAATCAAGGCATCAAAATGTCAAGTTTCTTTGATTGATTTTTGTTTAAAAAGTACTTCCAAATCAATTCTTATAAAGCCATTGCCAGCACAAACTTGAAGGTCATGAAAATGACTCAGGAATTCATCAGGTTGCTAAGGAAATCTTGATTAAATTATGAATAACTTTTTCTTGACTGAGTTTTGAACAAATTCTCCTCATCAGTACCATAATAAGGAATGTTAGGGAGAACAGTGTGGGAGTTTTATATGGACGATTACAGTGCGGTTATATCTTTATTAAAAATGAATTCATTATATGTACTTGATTTTATAGGATGGAGGTGTATTCACGTGTGGGTGTGGCAGCTATGGCCAACTTGGACATAACTCTAACAATCATGAGTATAACCCTAGAAAGGTGATGATCAACAGTACTGTATTGAGTATCAATTCATTGTAGATTAACTCTTTAAGTCCCAATAGTGACCAGCATCAATTTTCTCCGAACAATATCCATACAATTTCAAGAGATTAGGTTATTAGAATTAATAAAATGATCACCTGAGAGAAAACACTTTGATCTTTTATCAAATTCTCTCAACTCATTCTTTAAGAAAATGTATAGAGAACAGTTTGGAGAATTTGTACATGTATATTGGGGCTTAAAGGGTTAAAATAAAAAGTCCCTCAACTGTAGATGCCCCTCTTGGAAAATTAACAGTTCCTGCTGTTTTCCTTACAAAAGTATTTGGAGTAAGGTCCGCCTTGCTAGCCAGTAAGAGAAAAAAGGAAAAGTGAAGAGAATGTTAAACAAACAAAGAAACAAAAAATAAATACACACACACAGGCAGATGGGCCCACATCTGACTGAAGCCTTATGTTATCTGGACACATGATATTATTACTGTTCCTGTCCTTTATAGGTATTTGAGCTGATGGGAAAAGCTGTGACCCAAATTGCTTGTGGAAGGTATATTTGCACTGTGCTTGATCAATTCACCTTGCATTTTGTCTTAAACTTGATGGATGAAATGTACATGATTTTACATGTATATGTACATAGTAGAAAACTTGCTAGTTTTGTATTTTACATATAAAAAACGATTGGTTCAGTAGTACAGCTGTAACTTGTGTAAAGCACTTATACAAATTTTTTTTTTTGCTTTTTGTTGTTGAAGGTTGCATACACTGGCTTATGTTGCTTCATCAGGAAAACTGTACTCTTTTGGTGCAGGAGAGAATGGACAACTGGGAAACAACAGATTGTCGAGTGTCAATAGTCCTGTTCTTGTTCATAGCAGCTGGCATGTTGACACTACGGATGGAAGTAAATCAACACAACAGTCTGTGATACACAGAATTGCTGCAGGGGGAGACTTCTGTTATTTACTTGCACCAAGAAATGTTAGTAATAATTATTTATTATTACTGATTTGTAAAGATAGAATTATAGAAGATAAAGCCGAGCCTAAAAAATATTTTTTACTGTGAATTACTCAGAAAACTGTGAAAACCAGAAATATTTCCTTACAAAAAAAAAAAAGGTTTAAAAGGTTGATGGTTTGTTTAAAGTGGAAAGTGAACTTAGCTTAATTATCCAGGTAGTTTATGGTCAGTCCGTTCAAATAATCATAAACAATAACAATAAACACGTAATGACTGGTTCCGAGCGAAACAGTTAATTTTGTTTCCCAAGAATTTCCGGAGGTGGAGCTGAGGGGCCAGTCTTAAAGTTGTTATATAGCTCGAAATTTTGAAGCTGGAAATTCAGTCAACCTCGCTGTAACAGTGGTCGTCAGTCAACATTTGCAGGAAACAATGTACAAACCCTCTGACGTCTTAGATTTTGCAATGTTGCCTGCTAAGAGATTATGGCGGGAAACAGTTTCATTGTTAGATGTCATGTGACCTCGTGACCTCATAGTAACCAATGAGAGCATGCACTGTTGGGAAAACATTTCTAGCCATATAACAAATAATCATATATAACAGGATTAAAAACTCCAACTGGCAGGAGGTAACCAGTTGGCAATTTACAACCGTGCTGCTGAGGATTTGAACTCTAGCTGACCGAGAATGCTGAATCCAGTTAGAGGTCAGGGTGGGACTCAAACTGAACCCTGGATCATGGGATTGCGAGTCCAGCATGCTCAGCTTGCCACTCAGCCACGCTGCCTCCCTCTGTAATAAAACTGGGCCTAAAGATTCTGTTTTACTGTGAATTACTCAGAAACCTGTGCAAACCAGAAATGTTTTTGTAATGTTATTGTGTACCAAGCAGGCCAGCATGAGAACACTGCCAAACTCCAAGCTGTCTAGAACTTTGCCTGTAAAATTGTCAGCAGGGCCCAGAGATACGACCATGTAACTCCCATTCTCAGGCAACTCAAGTGGCTCCCAGTTAAAAAACACCTGTACCATCGCGATTTATTTATGGCATTTAAATGAGTGTACTGCCTTGTCCTGGAGAATCTATCTGATCAGTTTATTAAGCGCTCATCTATATCAACCCGCAGAACTAGAAACTCACAGTTGTTAAATATTCCTTTATTTAGATCTGCAACTGGCCAAAGAACTTTTTCTTATCGAATATTTCTCTCTGGAACGCTCTGCCGCAAAATATCAAGTCGTTAGCGCAATTTAAGACTATGATGAGAAAAACTGACTTCTAACGGACTCTAATAGAACACAGCCAGCCACAGCCATGACAAAAACCCAATAATAAATAGTTTAATCACTAGGCACTTAATTAATCTAACTTCCTGTATTTTAATTTTTAGATACGTACAACTTCTTGCGTTTTGTTTTATTTCATGCCATTCGATTTTGTCAAATATTTTACTGAAAAACCCTGTGGGGACGTGAAATAAATGTATGTATATACGTATGTAACACTTACCTGAACGTATTTTGGATTCTTAAACAGGGCAGCAACTGTGTATCATGTGATTTTCGAGAGCCAGACACTTCTAAGCACCTCTGGACTTTGTCTGAAACTGAATGCAGGAAAATAGTTCACCTCTTTTCTGTGGGAAATCCATCTGCAGAAGCATTGCAGTAAGTTTGTTTTTCAAATTTATGGCTGTGACAGTCCACATACCAATACTATTCAGGGGCACCTTAGGACAGTTTACTCCTGAATACATTGAAAACACTTTTAGGTTAACCAGAGAACTTTCAGATCTCTAGAAATACATTCTAAGCGGCGCTATAAAATTAATTTTTGTTCGGTCATCCTAGGGGAACTTGAGTTTTTTTTTTTCAAAATTACAAGGCCTTCAGTACTATTTTCCCAAAAATTGTAGGTGCAATTTAATGTCTTACGAAATTGAGCATTTTTTTTATTCCTCTCTCCATTACATTTTCTCTCTTCACAGAAAGTTGGAGACAGTTTTTTCATCCAACGCTTGCATGTGTGGCTCATTTCTGGACGGGTAATTAACTCTTAAAGTAGTCTAAGCTTAACCTGTGAATTTAGTTGTATGTACGAATTTTTTAGACACGTTTTAGGCTCAATAGGCCATTTGCACGGTGACGTCATTTTACTACTACGACCAGAATCCTTCAGAGTTTTACTTTCTTGTGCAAATTAGGGATTTCGTTATTTTTAAATCTCGCTGGGATTTCCAAATTTAAATATGAAAGAAAAAGCGAAAAGTATTCTGGTCGTAGTAGTAAAATGACGCCATCGTGTAAATGGCCTATTTTCGCCTCTCTCTCGGGTCTGGGGCCCGTTTCTCGAAAGTCCCGGTAACTTTTCGGGCCCGAAAGAAATCAAATATTCAAATCGAAATATAAACAATAAGAGCGCGGGTCCTGGCTAGCAGACTAATCCATTTTGTTTCACTAACTGATGGTTTTATCATGCTAGATGCAAAACTATTGAAACCTCAATCTTTAATGTAAACGGAGACAGCTTACCGGGCCCGTTAATTATCGGGACTTTCAGGTCCTGTTGAAACCTGCACAGGCTTTGTGTTTTAAAAATCCCCGAAAACGCTAGAATATGTCAACATTGTTTTATTGAGGGCGAATTGCACTTCATCTTTGACTGTAGCCTGTTCCAGGCATTCAGATAGTTGGGAGCGGCCAGGCGTTCAGATAGTGGGGAGCGGCGCGAAGTAAAAAGGAGCGCGAAAAAATAAAAGCGAGGGACGGGGAGAGGTGAGAGAGGAAACGCCTGTAAAATTTGTTTTAATTAGACTCTTCCGCCCACTCAGACCGCATCAGCTGTAGGTGGTCTTCACTTATCAATCAAGACTGGTGTTACAGCCCCATACATTTATTATTTTTCTTGTGAATAAATCGAAATTTCTCAGACCAAAAATTAAGATTATGTATACATAATATTACTAAAAACCTAATGTAAGACTTTCAGACAATAGAGAGCGGGAGAAGTATTCATGTACAATGAATTTATTTTCGGCTTTAAAACAGTCCCCCTCTACTTTTCTTCACTTCGTACCGCTCTCCACTATCTGAACGCTTGGAACAGGCGACTTTGATTGTAGTCTCCACAACCGCGCAGCGGGGCTACCCTTTTTTTATGTCAGGGTCACCGACCTAGCCGGGCCAGCTTTTCTTCATATAAACACTTTGCTTTGCCAAGGAAGGTCACAACTCGTTCAAGGCGAGACAATCAGAGCATGCGCGAGTGCTGTTTTAGACAACAGGAAGCTTAAGCAACGACGACGGCGACGGCAACGAGAAGGGCAAAAAGGCAATAGATTAGATTAGCAAAACAACAACTTTGCACCTCCATCACGCTTGTTTGTACATTTCTTAGCCGTCGTTGCACGACTACAACGTGAAAGTGCCTAATTTCACGTTTTGTCGAGGACGGGAATACAAGACAACAACTTTCCTTTTCTTTTCCTGAACTTTGATACAGTCCTTTAGAATTCAACTCCAAAACAATTTGCCCACATATGACACCTTAAACGAGATGGAATAAGCGCGATAAAGTTTGAGGCAGCGCGAATTCACTTTTTAAGTGACGTTTTCTTAGCCGTCGCCGTCGTTTTTGCTTAAGCTCCCAAATCAGAGTGTTACTGAGGGCTGTTGTCTCGGGCAAATGGGTCAACTATTTTTTTCTCATGCAACCGCTCGCTCAAGCTGACATCTGCTGGGAGGGTGACCCTTCCTTCTGGGACAGGCTTTCTCCATTTAAATGTTGTCTACGAATTCAAGGAAACTGGCCCGACTGGCCCGCACCGAGCACTAGAGAGAAGTTTTAGCCCTGTTTTTCCGTCCGTTTGGATGTTAAACTTCCCATAAATGTTGAAAGGATTTAGGTTTAGGCTATTGTTGTTTCTTTGTCTAACGTTTCAGACGAAACCATGAACAAACAAGTTCCAAAGTCCATGGAATAAATTTGGCATCAGCAAGAAGATGTTTTAGTATGCTCAACTTCATGCCACATCAGTTAGTCGCTAGTAAGGTAATTGCAAATGACCACCACATTGACATTTCATGGCTGGCCTTCATCTTAGCATGTCAATAAAGAGCGTTAGATTCTAAGACGAGGACGACTATGAGAACTAGATTCTCCCAATACTATAGTAAGTAGTGCGCGCGTGCGAACCAACGTCATTTTGGCGAGAAAATGTGATAGCCATCGTAGCCATCGTCATTCTACTACGAGTTTTAGCGAGAATGTCGTAGTGGCGAACACTAGTTATCAAATGTTAGGAATTTTATAATTTAGCGATCGGAAGAGGGCTTTACCTCCTTCAACGGAAGTGAACTAACTGTTGTGATGAAAAATGTACAGTGTTGCTTTCCGAGGTGTCTATTTTTAGAGAATAGACGAGAAAACTTAAAATTAAATGTTGTCCTCGTAGTCGTCTTCGTCCTCGAATCTAAAGCTCTCTAATAAGTTGGGACAAGACAACTAATACATAAACAAGACAAACAAGACAACTAATACATAAATTCATGACCTTGGTGTCATCGTTGTGAGTTGGGTTAACTGGGAGTTTACGCAACTACGATGACGACGGCAGTGAAAACGTCAGTAATTAAAATTGATGGATTGACCTTCTTTCTTTTTGTCACTGGTGTAGGCGAATTTCAAGATACAACATTCAAGATAACTAATTTAAGAAAAAAATTCGTCAGCGTTCGTTTACGTCCCCCATAAACTGTGAAAGTTGGCATTTTAAAGTCGTAGTCATTCAGTGACAAGAAGAAATGTCCAAAAAAAGGGTGATGCACGTGCAGAGTTGTTGATTTTCTCAGAGAACCTATTGTTTTTTGTTTTCTTTTCTTTGCAATCGTTGTCGTGGCTGGGTAGACTCCTTAATACGGGGCTTAAGCAAGCACGACGTCCACAGCAATGAAAACGGCCTTGGAAAAAAAATTGCATTATTTAGACTTGCTGATTTTGTCAAATGTGGGCGATTTTTCCTACTTTTGAATTCTTGAGGGCTGTTTCCAGGTTCAAAGAAAGAAAGAAAGGAAAATTCGTCGTCATGTGTTCACTTTCTTTGTAAAACGTTGTAGAATTCATGTCATAGTACGAAGAAGCGTGATGCACGTGCACGGCTGTTGTTTTGCTCCTAAGACTTTCTATTATTATTATTTTTTTTACGTTGTCGTTGTTTTCTTCGTGGTATTCACGAGAACTCCTTGATATTGACGTGGATGGGTGGGGTAAGGTGAGTTGCTCACTGACGTGGCAGCAGAGTCCATGATGTCCAGTCTTTTCTATTCCTTCTCAACCACTGGCTGCCAAGGGAAGTGGGGGGAGGGGTGGATTTGCCTTGTCATTCGTCTTCTTCCCTTTCTCTGTGTTTTCCTATTCTTCCATCCCTGCAGTGCTTTCTCTTTCCTTTTCTCCTTCTCTCCTTGTATTCTCTTCTCATGCCACTTCCTTCTTTTCTGCTACGGTGGTTTCATCTTAGGATTTACATGTATCATTTTTTTTATTGTTTTGTCTCATCTCCCAATACCTTTGTGTTCGTTTGTTTTCAGATGTTTAACGCAATAAAGCAAGGTGTCGTTCACTCCCTACAGCAGCCTCCTCCTGATATCGAGGCTCTGAGGGTGTATTTGCTGCTGCCAGAATTTTCCATTTATCAAAAGGAAGAACAGTACGACGCAATTGTTATTCCATTTGGTGAAGCCATCCTGAGATTATCAGTTGATGCAGGCAAAGTGTTAAGTGAGTATGAAGAACCTTATGCCTCATTCGCGCCAACTAAATATGCTTAACCCTTTCACTGCCAGAGTGAATGTTGGAGCCCTTAAGGTAGTTGTAACTTTTGAGTCTGTGGACAAAATCCTATGATGTGACCATTCAAATGAAACTTCTCTGCCTGTACTTTCAAATGCTGCTATTTGTTTCCAAAATTTTACAAAGCGAAATTTGGGAATTTTGGTTGCATTTTGCCCTTGGCCACACTTGGCACTGAAAGGTTTAAAGGACCTGTGTCGCGAAATTCAGCCGAATTAAAAAAATACAAAATGCCGGTTAAATTAAGAGAGACATAAAAATAACCGCTTAAAACTTTAAAGGAAGGTTAAAATAACATAACAGAAACAACAGATGTCACGGATGGGCAAAACTGATGAAGATTTTAACGGATTGAAATTACGGTTTTTGAAAACTGTTCAGCCTAACAGTTTTTCAAAGTTGATCCCTGCTGCTTGCAGCTTCGAAAATAATGCTCAGAAGACATATTTGTTTGTCACGGATCTCTGATTTTGTCACTTACATGTAATTTCTTTGCTTACTTTAAGTTCCATAGCGATTGAGGGCGAGTAATTGGCAAAATTAAACAAAATGAACTGGACTGCAGTGACACAGCCCCTTTAATTAAACTAGGTTTAATAAAAAATAATTAAAAACAGGTACGAAAAAAAACCAGTCTTTTTCACAGAATTCCTACGAAATTTGACATCTTACATAATTCCAATAAAAGTATAGTAAACAACTTTTAGAAAGAAAACAAATTTAAACCGTTTTAACCAAACAGCGTTTAAACGTGTTTCAGCTTTGGTGTGAATGGGGCATAAGTGACACAGTTCATTGTTTGACATCGATTTTTCATATGTTCTTGAAACGATAGAGAAGAGAATTGTGTAGTAACAAACGATAAAATTTGTGAAATTATGGGATTGGTTGGCATATTCAGAAAGAAAAACATGAAAAAAGTCCTATTCCTATACCAAAAATCAGACTGTTTGTGCAAACAGGTAGGAAGATCAGTGTAAGCACCGTCGCGCTCTGATAACTCCATGCAAATCTTTCTAAAATTGGCTTGGATGGTAGCAGGCCAATTTTGGAAGGATTTGGATGGAGTCATCGGAGCATAACAGTGCTTATACTGGTCTTCCCACCTGTTTGCACTAACAGGCTGAGTTTTGGCATGGGGACTTTCTTTGTCTTGTTGTTTCAGAATAAGCTGACCAATCCAGTAATTTTATAAATTTTATTTGTGTGACGTAATCACTTCTAGTCTCTATTACGCACGAACAATACAAGAAGCTAACGTAAATATAGCGATTTGATTGGCCGATCGAACGAATGCAAACGCGCGTGCCTTTTGTTTGGTTCAGCGAACTTTCTCAATTCTCCATGATATCATTTTGCAATAATATTGAACAATCGAACGATGCTTTGATCATCTATGTATTTTTTTTCAGGACGATGGTGGTCCACATTACCCTCAACATATTTTTCCCACACAATGAAGGTTTGAATATTTTAAATAACGTGTTTGCGTCGAAGTTAGCATGATATTTCATTGAATGTGGAAGGTTTGGTTACATCATTCTACAAACAGAGCCTCCTTCTTTTGTCTTTTTGAGCGAGGAGGAGAAGAGGAGGCTCCACCTGAATGGCGTCAAACCTTAGAAGTCACCGCAGCTCAAACTTCTGGACTGAATCAATCTTTTGTCAAACTGGTTTATTCGAGTGCGAGTACCCGCTATGTCACAACCGAGCCCGCAGTAGCAAGTGCTCTGCTATATCCTAGCAACATGCCGCGCATGCTCAACAAAGATCTTATTTTGCAGAGTCTTTCTCAAGCATCTTTTTTCTCACCCTGCGAGCAGAGCTTCCTTTTGTTCTTTTTAATGATGAGGAGAAAAGGAGGCTCTGTCTGAATGGCATCAAACCTTTGAGGTCGCCGCAGCCCGAATCGATCACTGAGTGAGTTTATACTAAGATTCAATATTCATCTGATCAATGCCATTCACTTATCTTTTGCATCCAGTTCGCCTCAGATTTATCAAGTTCATCAAAGCTATTCTAATCCAGCTACACCGCATTAGTCGATCCGCCAGTTGCCATATGTTGATTCCATGAGTTACGAGGTCCACCATTTTTATACGGACCGGTCAATAAACCGTAGTTTTCTGTGTTTTATTTTAGATGTTTCAAGACTGTGTCAAGTACTTACTTCACTTCCCTCCTCCAAAGTTGAAGGATGAGGTAGTTCAGTATTCCTGTTGATTATTATGCTAAGATTACCAACAGATCACGGTGAAAAACTACTGAACATTGCAAAATAGTGGTGTGAACCCATGGGTTTGAACCGACGATAGACTATTCCAAGCCCAAGTTGGTGACTTTGTTTTCAAGATTGAGGGAACGGTCTATTAACACTTATGAGGAAACTAGTAGACCTTATTATTCATTCAAAATTTTTCCCCTATTCTGATTGGCTAAAAGCACGCGCATAATTCACCATAACCAGTTACTGATGACCAAATTTGGAAGAATTTTGTGTTTAACGAGGAACTGACGTCAAAAATGCAGCGTTCTTGCAGATTAAGGCACCGTTAACAGAGAAGACCTGGGGACGAGGTTTAGTTGTTTTGGTTGTGAAAACAAAAAATGGCGGACATTTCACTCGTTTCAAGATTGAGTAAGTGCTAGGCGAAATTATAGCTAAAAACGTGGCAAGAACAGCAAGACCACAACTCGAAGGGCGACATCTGCTATTTGGAGAACATTTGGGGAGCTAAAAAACCCTAAACGTGCACTATCGAAGGTGAACTTAACATCGATGGAGGTAAGCATGTTTTAGCTTTGTTTTTAAACTAGGAATTATTTTGAATTAATAATAAAACAATTATTGAATTCGGCTTACGCATCTTATGAAGAATTATGGAGATCTCGGAGGGTGTTATCCGCGATAACACCGTCCTCGATCTCCATAATTGTTCATAAGATACTCAGCCTCATTCATTAATTGTTAATTTATCACGCGTCATAAAAGCAAATAATTTTTACTTATCTAGACTAGTTTATGTATAGTTTTGACGATAATTTAACGTTGAGATTAATGTCGTAAAAAATTTGCTTTTCAGGCAATACGACGGCAAGCGGGACTGGCAAATTGTTTAGGGGTATTGGAGCAACTTCATGTGGTAAGTTTAAAACCGATTTGCCTGAAGCACTTAGCTAACGTTTGATTATTAAAGTTGGCTCTTCGCTGTACAAGTCCCCTACTGGGTATTAATGTCTCCTTCCTATCAATCAGGTCGTTTGCCCCAGCTGCATGAAAGTGTAGCAACTTGCAATTATCATTGAAAAGGTGTATCTTTATCGTCGTTTGTTATTATTAAGACCCTATGCACCGGTCTGATTGAGAAGTGAACCTGTAGCCTAAATTTCAGACATTCCTTCTAGTCGCATACTCCTCTCACTTGTTGGAGTATGTGATTCGAGGGTATGTCTGAAATTCAGGCTGGTAGAAATGGCCCCTAGACAATGTATTTATTCTCCATCGTGTGGGAAGCCAACCATAATCAGTCGTCCTTAAGCAAAGTATCAATCAAAACATCAGGGACTTTAACATCCGAGATGGGCGAAGGCGGCGAGCATGTCGCTTAAAAAGCGAATTCGCGTTCTTTTAATCAGTTTCATTGCGATTATTTTAACTCACTTCCTTTGTCAAATGTAGAAGAATTAACCTGGATTTGAATTCCTAAGAACAATGTTCCAAGTTTAAAAGTGGGAAGAACGTTTCGTCGTTACTTGCTTGCATCGTCCATAGAAAGTGAAGTTAGATTTTTTTTATGTCGTAGTAGTGCAGTGACGGCAAAGAAATTTGCAAAAAAATGATTGTTGTTGTTTTGCTAATTATTTTTACTGCCTTTTTTGACATTCTCGTTGCCGTCGTCGTCTTTGGATCTTAATGCCCCTTAAAACGATGGCCCGACGGACCTTTTTGAAGTGTCATTTTCTTTCCACCCTTCCTTAACCAAATATAGATTTTTGTGTACTAATTTTTTATTAGTGAATTTTAAAGCAAGCAGGCCATTATAAGAAAACCCCCCATAGCCACAATCATTTCTGTGAAAGCTCGAGAACTATTTAATTTTTTGGGAGTATTCGCGTCACTGCCTGACCGTGCAGCTGTGCGTTTCCTAAAGACTTCAAAAATAGTAGATGATTAAATGCCGATTTTATACAAATTCTACAGGTTAACACGGAATCGGGTGATATTGTGCCATTCAATCAGTTTTACATCCCTGAGATTCAACAGACTATCGATATCAGAGCTGACTACTTCAACTGGATTCAGAATCAGGTAATTAGAACAACAATTCCTGCACGTTCGTATTTTGAAAGAGCACTTGTGCTTCTAGACGATAACGTTCGTAAATAAATTATTGATTGATTGATTGACTGATTGAACAAAAACAACAAGGCAGAAGAACAATAACAACAACAACAACAGAAATGTTATAGGAAAGCTACAGTGCCATGTTACATTGCTTGCGGCCGGCACGGGGGGTACCTAGGGCAATTTTTGCTGGGTATGTGCCGCTGGCCTCTTTGAACCCCTACCCCCCAATAGTCTATTGTGTGGCCAATTATAGAGCCCATAGTTAATTTTTGGGCAAATGTAATTTTTGGCAATCCCAGTTTATTCATTTTCTATTACTTTTGAAAACGCGAATCTTCCTATTTCTAAGTCTCCCCTTACCAAAATCCTCAAAATGTGCGACCCCATTTCAGTAACTCTCTGGAAAATGCAATGCGACGCAATCTTGGATTGATGGAAATTATAAACATGGGCTTCCCGTTCCAATCCACCCAGAGGCTGCTTCATATCGAAACCGGTGGTTGTTCTTCGTTTACTTGATACTGTTACGGGATATCGCACGAGAATGAAATTCTCTCTTCGGTACAGTAACCGTGGTATGTTGCGTTTGGGTATGACAATTTCTGTTGGTGGTGTCATGTAAACGAATACAGAGCTACGAGACGAAACCGGGGTGAAATCTTGTCGGTTTCATTAATTCGCCCCGGCATCATCCCGTAAACAGTCTACAAAACTAAGCCTGACGAAACAGCCGACAGGTTTCCCCGCGAAATTGCGTCTGAAGAACGACTGCAGAAATTCCATATTGATGTAGTGTCACTACGCAGATCTGGGTAGTACTTCTGATTGGTTGAGGCAAATTTCCCTCGCGGCACAACCAATCAGAGTACACTACCCAGATCTGGGTGGTGCACGTCATCAGTGTGAAATTTCTGCTGTCGTTCCTCAGACGTTAGAGCGATTTTCGTTTGACCTTGGTATGAAAACGCGCGGACAAAACAGAAACAACAAACGAACGGAAATAGAGCGGTTTTGATTGGTTTGTCGAACGAATACAAACGCGCGTGGCTTTTAGTTGGTTAAGCGAACGCTCGGGTGAAAAAACTTCATGCCCGAGGACTTTCCAGAAATCAACCGATACCTCGCTTTGACGTCATATTGCAACACGATTGGCCAATCGAACAATGCCTTCTCCATATTAGGGTGTTCTTTGCCAGGAAAACGGATAGGCCATGTTTTGATCTTTTCAGCCATTGGCTGATAAAACAAATAACGAACGCTTACCGAAACCAGTTTTCAAGGTCATACGAAATCCCTCTATTTCCCGGGGTAATCGCAAAATGTCGGTTGTTTTCTCAGGCTACCAAATCCTAGATCCAGTCCAGAAAAGGCCAATAAACCTTCAGCAGTTTGCCTTTTTCACCTGCTTCTCCTTTTGTTTAGATTGTGACAAACCTTCAAGAATTACGGCACCACCTGTATCACGTGGTAGGCCTTTCATTTTCAAAAGCTCGTTCAACCAATTCCATATATGGCAGCATGCAGATCGCCATTGCCACGTGACTTACTGCTTGTTTCAATCACAACGTGAAAGAAATGGGCCACTTCCGAGTTTCCAAACCCCTCACTTTCAAAATGAGGTTAAATGCAAAACCTGTCATGTGAAAATGAGTTTCAGTTGTATAACAATTAAATTTTATTTTTGTATCGGACTTTGCACTTATCCTCGGTTTCAAAAAGAGGCTGGGGCAACTCGTAACTCGCCTATTCAGGCTTGGCTGCGATTCAAACCTCAATTAGAGACCTTTAGATTCTAGGACGAAGACGAAGACACAATTTGACATGAAATCCCTAGACCTTTCATACATACGAGATTTGACCTAAGAACCCTATACCCTTCATACATATTTCGGACGAGATTTGACTTGAAAACCCTTTACCTTTCATACATACTTCGGACGAGATTTGACGCGAATACCCGATTTCACTTGAAAACCCTATACCTTTCATACATACTTCGCATCATTTTTACCGTTTCACACGTTGTTCCTTGCACCAATTCTGTATATTTATAGCTCCACGCGGAATATTTTTTCATCCCCATTGAAGCCGTTTAAAAACAGCTGTTTAAGGCCTCATTAAAACGGTAGTTTTATTTTTAATTTTTAATCATTCTCCTGAAGGACAACATGAACAGATTACCGGAAAGCTTTATTACACTTTGCCTCCAAACTTTGCACGATTATTTGTATTGAGGAAGTTAATTCCTCTCCCTATCGCAAAACGATGAAACTTTTAACGTTTGATAACTTGTTCCCGCCACTACGACATTCTAGCTTAAAACCGTAGGGGAATGACGACGGCTATCACGTTTTCCCGCCAAAATGACGCTGGTTCACGCGCGCGCACTGCTTGGTATTGAGAAAATCTCGCTCTCGCCATTGGATCTAAAGGTCTCTTATAAGTTATTCAAGCCAACGGGGAGCAGATCAATCGTGTGTCCATCATATACCCAATAGTGGTGATAAATAGCGTGTGTTGCAGACGTAATCTAACCCCGGTTAGTAGCGTCTGCGAAGCGGCGCCGCTATCCTTGTTCTGTGCCGGCCACGGACTCAACGAATTACCGGAAATGCATTGCGAATTTCCCTTCAACCTGATTGGCAAATCAACAATGGATTTTTTAACAGGCCAATCATGGCGCGCTCTGAAATCCTGTTGGGATTGGACGGGGATTTAAGCGCTGTTTCGCATACAGACTCCACCAGGCCCCAGTTGTTCAAAAGGCGGATAACGCTATCCACTGGATAAATCTCTATCCGATGGAAAACGACATTGGTTTCCCTAATGCTTATCCGGTGGATAGCACTATTCAGCATTTGAAGAACCAGTGCCCGAAGTTTAGTTCCGTCTGTGGCATAGGCTGTTGATAAAAAACTATGAATTCTGAAATTTTTAAACTGTCGTTCAATCTTTCCCTCACGCATTTAAGGGCTCAAAGTGCCTGTTATGAATTAAAAGGAGACTTGAGCTCCGTAATGCTTAAGGAAATATTTCACGGGAGTTTGAAAATTGCGAAATTTACGAGGATTTGTATGGAAAACCATTCAAACGTGACTGGGTGGCAAAAGTTGTTTTTCTCATACAAATCCTTCTAATTTTCGGGGGCCGTTGCAATCGCTACTTTTGAGATATACGGCTGAAAACTTGCAGGTTACCTAATTTTAATATGCTGTTTCAGCTCGTGCTAACAAAATTTTTCAAAATCAAATTGTTTTCCTGTTTACCAAAAGTTGCTCACGTCGTCAACTAATGCAAAAGGCCTATTGCGGATGAAACAGATGATTGTAGATGTAATCCGTTTTCCTATCCTTATAAAGACTGCTTACGTCCTTTTTTCGTTTCATCTGTAGTTCAGTTATGATCTATTTCAAATATTCCCGGTCTTTGTGTACCTAGTCTCTTTAGTAGCGCGAATTTATTGTAAATTCTTACACAACTAATAAAAGTGTGTCTCAATTATTTTAGATAGTAGTATGATTATAAAGTTTGGTTACGATGGTGTGATTTTCCTATACAGCGAACGTTTTCTTTCTGTCGTTACCCATTTGTGTTTGACGCTGAAGCCAAAACTACGTTAATGCAAACCGATGCTGTAATGCAGATGCAAGTAAGTTTAGACAACACTTAGATATACATGTACATGCGTCAATAACTGAGTGTGGCGTCAAGATTGCTGAATTTTGGCCAAGGTTTTTGCCCCCTCTCCTCGTTTGAAAAAATAGAATAATATAAAATAAAACTAGTTAAGGATTTACTTTAGGGGCATTTTTTTTTGGCGGAGACAAGGTGGAAATCCCGGAGCGAGAAGGATACGTGCACCTTGTTTGATTGAGTGGCCAATCATAAGACAAGTCTCTTGCTCACGAAGCCAGTGCTAGAATCATCGCATTCGTCAGGACGCTTTCTACTCTTGGTGTTCCTGTGGTACAAAGCCACAAATTTTCGAGGTATCGGGGGCGACTGCCAATAAGCTGCCCCCACTGATTTTATCAGGGGCATCTCGGCCGGGAAACTGGACTCCTTTCGACTCGATTTCGTTTCCGTAAGTGACGGACGCGGATCCGTAATCAATGATTACCTCTAGTATTTAACATAACAATTGCTGCGTACTAACGTTTACTGAAGGTACTGCAAAACACTGCAGTTTGTTAAGGTAGGCTATCGCTTTTAGACAAATGCAGCTGGCCAAAGCTGCTTGCACTACCGCCATGCTTAGCCATTTTTGCAATTTACTAAGACGATGTGGACGTGAAGCTATTTGAAAACTTAAGGTGGATTTCCACTGTCGCTTAATTGGTTCGTGCGTAAGCACGTTAAGTATACGCGCCTAAATGAAGTAGAGGCAATATATGGATGCTTCCGTAAACGAAAAAGTTAAACCTCTCTCTAAACTTTGACGCTTACGCTCGGTCTTGGATGCGTTACCTCTTGCGTATGCACGTAACAATAACGCGACAGTGAAGATCCACCCTTTAGACTCTGAGGTATCTTACTTCGGTTGGTATATTCATCGTTCTCTTCTTTCTGTTTTTCAGTCAGCTGTTGAGGAGGTGAACCGCCGAAATGTTCAGTCAATGGTATCGCAAATGCCTATTGACCCTGTTAATCCAATATTGGTCATCGTGGTTAAGAGAGAGAATATTGTCGACCACACACTAAATCAGATTATGAAGTGTGGACCGTACGATTTAAAGAAACCTCTGAAGGTAATAGGTAGTTTTAGCAACTTAGCGATTAACTTGAACGATAAGAATAATCTTCTCACGATGCATGCGCGAGTTCGTGACAAAACGCGAAAGGACTGAATGCGACTTCCGGTTTTCAAGTCGTTAGATCTGCGCGCTCCTACGTCACTCTTGTTAGACATGGTTCTCTTAAAAATGTGGATGATCTTGAGGACAAAGGTTGTATGTTGCATTGGCCATTTCGAAGTTGTGGGTTACGATGATTCGGTGATGTGGCATAATTTCTGCATCAAGTGGTTCACGTTTTTGTAAATACTTCTTAATTAAATTTAAACATTGTAATTAGTAATTAGCTGACTTTGTAATTAGTATTAGATTAAGTGTTTTAATTAGTTATTATAAATAATGTAATATAATCATTGTTCCTGAAAAGCCCCCATGGGGAGGTAACAATAAAGTATGTAATAATAATAATAATGATAACAACAACAAAAATTCAGCTTCTTACCGTAAATTACGGGTTCTTGTATGCAGTTTAGTACTGTTTTCTAAGATCGGACTTTTTTTGGCAGGTTGTGTTTGTCGGCGAAGAGGGTGTAGATGCTGGCGGTGTAAGGAAGGTAACATTATGTAACATTCAAGTGAATGGTTCGTCACGCAAGGGAAGTAACGCGTGACCAAGCCCTAAGAAAAAGTCTACCTGGGAGACTACATTCAAAACCGTTGGAGACTATAAGCAGTGATTAAAGACCTATATTCAATTCCAAAACGCGTATTTCAAGGGAAAGAATCGTTTCGCTGTGGGTTCTCAGCCATTTGGCAAATGTGAAGCTCTTCGTCAATTCTAAGCCATAATGATTTAGACCCTGAGTTTTGGAGCTGCAGGTCAACGTTGTTGTTCTATGCTACCATCCAAACTAAACAAGTTTCCTTTTATGAACTTTATCAGGGTTGTGCTCTAGCAGCGCCCGGAGGCCCCTGACCCTTACTTTTGCTCTTGAGCGACTGGAAAATCTTATTATTTCGTAGAAATCCTATGCTCTACACCCTGGATTTCACAGGTTCCGGCAGAGCAGTGGGCTCCCTTCAATTTTTCTTACAGCTCAGCCTGGTATAAATTCAGCCTTTAAAAAAAAAAAAAAAAAAAAAAAAAAACTGTTATTTTCTCCTTTTTAAACTTCGAATTAATCGGAATGTTTTTATTCAATGTATTTAGGAATTCTTTCTACTGCTTCTGACTGAGATTTTGGACCCCAAATATGGCATGTTTACATTTATTGAAGAATCAAACACTATCTGGTTTAACGACTTGGTAAGATATATTAGAAACATAATTTATTTTAACGTTAAAAGCCGACGTTTCCGTATCATCATGACACCATTCTCAAGGCAAAATGAATAAGTAATGCGAAGATTTGATTTCTATAGTCTCTACAAATTAGCATAATAATTTGTAGAGAGCATAGAAATCAAATCTTCGCATTACTTATTCATTTTGCCTTGAGAATGGTGTCATGATGATACCGAAACGTCGGCTTTTAACATTAATATTCGCTTGCTTATGTTTTAAGAAATCGTTATTGATCAATAATTTATTTTAACACATTTATTTCCCAGGAAAATAAAAACCAAAGTCGAGAAAAAAAAAAAATCAAATGCTCATAAGATTTCATGTCAGAACCATGTGCAATGCTAGGATGTATATAAAATTACGGCTCAGTTGCTTTGAAAGAGTGGTCTAACGGTAGGTTTTCATCCTGAGACTAAAAAAACTTAAAAACATTTTGTACTTTATAATAAAAAGAACCACTGAAAAGTAGTGCTCAGTAGCTTTTAGAGGACGGTCATAAGAGGATTGCAGCCATACATACTCAAACGTTTCAGCATATATATAGTCATAAAGAAAGTGCTGGTCGGTATCTGATTATTCCTTAGTTATAGTATGAAAGAATATGTCAACAATCATGTTTTGTTTTCTTGCAGACGTTTGAAGAAAATCCAATGTTCTTATTGATTGGTGTTATTTGCGGTCTTGCCATCTACAACTCTACCATCATCGATCTGAGGTTTCCGCCTGTTTTATACAAAAAGCTTTTGCGAAGGTAATTTCAGTACTTATACAGCCATGTACTCTTAATCTTGTGATGGGGTATCGTAAGTGAAGTCAAACGTTCTTCACAGAGTCAGCAATGGGACAGAGCTACGTGTTCCAAAGATACCCAAACATAGAGGGTTGATCGTGCTTCAAGAATTGGCACAAACAAAAGTTGTCGCGAGATATCAGTGGATTGGCAGCTTGATTGACAGCTTTGTTCTAGCAAAATCAATTGAATCTACCTTACACACCCTCTCTTTGCTCGGCTGAGGCACACTTTGGGAATCCCAGCGGTGCCAACACTCGACCTTCGCTTTTGAATTTATCGTACTCTGTCATTTTTAATTTTCTGAGGTCATTTTCATGGTTTTGGTCGTTATTGCGTACTTCTTACAAAAAAAATATATATTGTTTTTTCGACAAGAATGGCCTGTCGAATGTCTCCACGCTCGCCTTTCTTGGACTCTGTGAATAATTCAGTCACTTTTGTATTGTATTGTTTTGTTGTGTTTGTTTCTCCCAGAAAGCCAAACCTGGATGACTTCAGAGGGTTTAAACCGTCAATTGCTAAGTATGCATTTTGTAATTTAAATTTTTATAATTATGTATAAAAATCAGTGGCCATGTCGCACTAGTTCATTGTCATGCACAACCCGCCAAAACTTGACATCAGATGCATCATTCCTCTTCGCGTTTTTGCATTGCTCCTCGGTCTTTGATAATCAGAGGAAATATTCCGTTTTATGTTTGGTATATTACTTCTCTGTGTTGGAATATTAGATGGAAAACTTGTCCTCATGTAAATATATTACTAATCGGTGTTTCAATATCAGTTGAAACAGTCCTGGTTTTGATACACAGTTTCTCAGTGGCTGAATATCAGATCAAACACTCCGCTCATGTATCATATATGTCATGTCTCTGTATTGGGATATTATAGGAAATACTCCCTTTTGTGTTAAAGATATTTCTTGTCAGTGTTGTAAAGTCACATACAAAAAACATTTATTACTCCTTGGTGTTTAGATATCAGACGAAACTCTCCTACTCGTCATTGATTCTTAATTTCACTGCCCCTAATGAAAGATAAAACAGTCTTTCAGTGTTTGGCAAGAGTCATGCAAATAGCCACCGGTTCTGCAAAGAAAACGTTTAAGCCGAAGCCACGAATCGAAAACGCGTCGGTGTATAATCATTGAGAACACACACTTCCTTCTTATTTTTCTTGGCTTATTCCATTACACTCAACAGAAATCTCCAATATTTGCTGGATTACCCTGACGAAGATGATATTGTTGACGCATTTGGTCTCAATTTCCAGGTAAGCTTCGTTGTCGTTTTTTCGTAATCTTGTTCTTCGTAGAATAAGTGCGATCGTCAACACCGAATAAACTTCTTTTTTTTTTCTTTTTCTGGTTCAGAGATGGTGTTTGGACATGCTATGATTTTTTAAAGTATAAGACATTCAAAAAGTTTGTAGTGTACTTTTAAGTTCCAAACAAGCACAGTTATCTTCACGACATGTTTTCCTTGGTAGAGTAGGTGGTTTTACCTGTTGTTAAGCAACTAAGAAAGTTAGCACTCGACTCGACCTCAGCCTTTCCAACTAACTGACTTGGTGTCTGTTTTTTTTTTAGATCGTCCGTGAAAGATACGGGGCACTAGAATATGTTGATTTGATTCCTGATGGAGGAAACACACCAGTTAACGCTGAAAACAGGTATGTGACTGACGATAACGAAACAGCAAGTGTTAAGGGTTTAAAGGTTAAAGATTTGTTTATATAGTGGAAAGTGCACTTAGCTTATCCAGCTAGCTTACAGGCACACCACTCAGATAATAAGAAATAAATAATCCAAATATAAAAGGATTAAAAATCACACCTGACAGGAGGCAACCAGTTAGCTGTTTACACACGTGGTGAGGATCTGAACTCGACACGACCGAGAACATTAATTCAGAGTGTGATTACAGCGAGACTCGAACCCGGGACCTCCGGATTGCCTGACGGACGCGCTAGCCACTCGGCCATGCTACCTCCCTGTCTTATGCTTTTTCTCACCACAGACCCGTTTCTCCAAAGTCTCGCTGGCCCGAAAACCTAAAGAACAAAAGCGCGGTTCCCGAATCTAACAAATCGGTGCATTATTTTGCATGCTGATAGTTCAGTCATATTATCTGCAAAACTATTGAAAGTTCGATTTTGAATGTAAAAGACAACAGCTTTTCGGACCCGATGAAAATAGGCCATTTGAACGATAATGTCATTTTACTACTATGAGCAGATGACAGAATCCTTAGGGGGTTTGCTTTCTTGTTTAAGTTAGGGCTTTTGTGATTTAAAGCTCGCTGGGATTCCCAATTTAAATATGAAAGGAAAAACGAAAAGGATTGTGGTCGTAGTAGTGAAATGACGCCAACGTGCAAATGGCCTATTATTGGGAAGCAGGCCCCAGGAACCAATGAAAAAAAAAGAGTCACTTCAAAAGAAGACTGAAAATGATTGTTCGCATAAGCTCCGAGATGAATAGAATTGTAGTGAAAATGATGTGCGCTTCGACAACCTGTGCGGAATTCGATACTTGACCAATGTTTTCATATTATATTTTTTGCGTCAATGTTTTTCCATCCGTCCTGCTACCTTAACAATAGAGAGTAAAACACTCGAATAGGAACATCCATATCATCGAATAGGAACATCCATATCATCAGCGTTAAAAGTAACTCATGGCGTCCCACAGGGATCTATTCTCGGGCCCTTGTTATTTAGTTTTTACATGACACCTAGACAGTAGATTTAAAAAGAGCTTCGACTGGGCAGAGATCATTTTTCTATCGCGCAATAGTATATAATTAAACGTAAACATCGTGCCCGTAGGGAACTTTGGGCGTCTATACTTTGACTTATGTAATGCTTTTAGGATCAAATCTATTAAGTTCATCTTGATAATTTTTCTTAGTTTTTTAAGAGTACTGTAATTAGGTTTTCTTCCGATAATTGTAAATTAACATTGAAAATCCCAGTTTGGGACATGTTTTAAATAAACTTATCGCGTTGTATTGTATTGACTCCCCTCTGGGTTTCCCTGGGGACTACAATCAATCACACTCGAACTACATATGTACCTTTCCCCTGTCTAGTGACTGAAACATTTTGTGACTCATCAGCCAGTTGTGTCTCTTACTTGCTTCTAGACAGCAGTATGTCGATGTGTATATTGATTACTACTTAAACAAGTCAGTGGACAAGCAGTTCCAGGCTTTTTCGATGGGTTTTCACCGAGTTTGTGGTGGTAAAGTCCTGGTATGTAGATGATAATTTTGTCTGCGTAACATTGATATATTCGATGAGTTTGTGGTGGTAAAGTCATGGTATGTTGAGGATACTTTTGTTTGTATAACTTTGATATGCTCGATGAGTTTGTGGTGGTAAAGTCATGGTATGTTGAGGATACTTTTGTTTGTATAACATTGATATGCTCGATGAGTTTGTGGTGGTAAAGTCATGGTATGTTGAGGATACTTTTGTTTGTATAATATTAATATGGTCGATGATAAACAATGTTGTTATCACCCGCCTTATCCCTTTAAGCCGCAATTTTCTCCAAACTGATCTCCATACATTTTGTTAAAGAATTAGCTAAGCGAATTTGATAAAAGATTAAAGCATCATTTCTTTTATTTCATTTGATTGATTATCATAATCGTTTCTCTCCATATGGATACTGACGGGGGAAAATTGTGTCCAGTCCAAACGGTTGTATTACGATGCCACAAAGGGCTGAGACTGGACATGTCTTCTCAAAAAGGCAACAGTCTTGGACAGAATTTAGTATTTGCCGTGTCACATAACAACTAGATAGGCCATTGTAACGCCTAATTTAACTATAGTACATTCTCGTGTCTTCCTGTCATCGATTACTAGGTTCGTTTGAAACGAGCACTTGAAAAACTCTTTTCCAAATTTATGCTGGAATCAGTGGCCCCAAAAAGGAGAAGCTAAATATTTTCGAAAGCTATTAATTATATTCTACAAATCGAAGTGTCGTATGTTTTTGTGCTAAATCATTTTAGTGTTTAATGGAGTGGTGTTTGGTTTTTCTTTATTCTAAACATGACAGGAATTCTTTCATCCTGAAGAGTTGATGCAGATGGTAGTAGGATGTCAAGAATATGATTTCAAGGAACTTGAAAAGGTAACAGGTGTTATTGTGGTGTAACGATACCGTAAATGCTCGTGAGCAGTTAGGCTACGGTATGCTCACATTGTACCAGATATCTTTGCGCCGACACGAAAACTATTTGGTACAAGGCTTTTGTTCACACATACGGTCGGTGATTTTGGTGCGAATTTCTGTAACGGAGCGAACGTGCGCCGCTCCGATCGTGCCAACTTTCCTCACTTGCAGCCAATTGCTGAATTGCGGAGGAACAAGAGAGGTGAGATCGGACGTCAGCATGTAAAGGCGCCCTCTCGCAGCCACGTCAGTCCATGTGTTGATCACACCTCGCCCACCCAGACCGATGTCGGCACAAGTCAGATAGACCATGACATCGGGGCCTACGTCCCCTACTCATTTCGAACAATGTCATGGGTTCTTTTACGTCCTCTTCCAACTGAAGGGGATCGTCACATATCATACAGGTTTCTGCCACCCTTAGTCGCAGTGTGAACAGGTATTCGAACCGTAGCGGAAGTAACTGCCTAGGACCCACTGAGACAATTGAATATTCAGAAGTGCGGATTGGGATTTAGTACTAGTACTAGTACTAAGTTCGATGTGTGGGAGAGATTTGATCTAGTTCTGCGCCGTTGCCTTTCATACTCTGGGTTCGCCAGTCTTGATAAGTCCTTGAATTTTAGGGGAAATCCTTGAATTCCATTTTTCCTTGAAAAGTCCTTAAATTTTCTTCAACTTTGAATGTACTGGCCTGGAAAGAGTATTTTAATGTTTTTTGGTTGTCCAAGACAGAATATAAATCATAGCTCAGAGAATTTAAAGGTTATTTACAGAAAGTGCTCTATGTTTTATTCAATAATTAACTATCAATTTAAGACAAGTGAACTGAAAAATGTAGAGAAGTTGGTGAAGCAAACGGTTCAAGACTTAAAGTCTTATTAGAATAGACTGGGAATGTGCATTTTTGTATAACCCTGATACTGTGCCAGATAGCTTTTCATGTCTTCCCAAAAAGCTGTTCGGTATAGTATAAAAATAGCCTTACATAGAAGGAAAGGGCGAGAGAGGACTGGGAAAGGATCCTAACGAACGACAACCAGATGAGCACCCATAAGGTGAAATCTGCGTCCATTTGAATTTCTTTCAACTGTTGCTTCATGGTTAAACAGTAGGTTCAGTTGACTTTCTTTTCTCCTTAACCTGTTTTGCAGGTGGCTGAGTACAAGGGAGAATACTACCGTTATCATCCTGTCATCAGAAACTTCTGGGAAGTGTTCTTTGAATTTCCTGTTGACATGAAGAAAAAATTTCTTGGTAGGTTTAATATACGATCATCATAATCATCATCATCATCAGCAGCACCAGCATCGTCACCAACACCACCACCACCAACATCATCATCATCATCATCATCATCACCATCATCATCATCATCATCATTTTCATCATCATCATCATCATCGTCCTCCTCCTCCTCCTCCTCCTCCTCCTCATTATTCAAAATCAGAAGCGTTATCCAAACTCTATTCGTAAGAGACATAGATGTATCAAAAGTTTAACACGTCATCAATTATCAATTTCAGATGTGGTGAATAATTCACAATTAAGATGGTAAATGAAAAAGAAAAAAAAGTTGCAAATTAAATTAAATCATATTATAAGTTATAAAAAAAAGCATAGCCTATATATTTGATGGTACAGTTAAAACATCGCAAGACCCAAGCATCAGCTGCATTTCGTCTATTGTAGTATATGCCTGTGAGATATAAACGAGCCTCCTCATTTGCTAACTTATCCTCCAATGTTTGGCATATAGTCTGATAAGTAGAAAATGGCCGTGAAAGTTACCTACTCGCAAGGCCTTTTAACCACTAACAACTTAGCGTCTGTTTGCATTTACAGCGTTTTTAACCGGGAGCGATAGAGTGCCAATCTTAGGAATGAAATCTATGAAGGTAATGTTGTGTTCACAGAAGTGTACTTGGAGGATTTTTTTTAGATTCAGTTTTTGGTGTTGTTCAGTCCAAGTCTTTTGGGGGCTTAAGCAACAACGACGGCGACGGTTACGAAAACGTCACTCAAAAAGTGAAGTCGCGCTGCTTCAAACTTTATCGCGCTTATTCCATGTCGCTTAATTTGTCATATGTGGGTAACTTTTTTTGGAGTTGATTTCTGAAGGACTCTATCAAAGCAGGGTCTGGAAGGGGGGGTCCTGATCCCGCATTCCCGTCCCTTTTTCGCGAGAATCCCGCATCCCTCACGTTTTTAATCAGTTTCCCGAATACCGCTTTTCTTTCTCAGAAAAATACATTAAAAAGTCTAATTTCTGCAAAAGCTAATAAATGTAAGGTGTAGGTTGATCCTTTCGATTGATATTTTGAATTTACGCGTGTTTTTAAAGGTTTCCGGCATTCCCGACGGACACGCAAACATAAATCCCGCATCCCGTGCCCATTTTTTGGCGGGTCCCGCTTCCCGGGGAACAGTCAAATCCCGGATCCCGTCAATATATTTATCGTTTTTCCGATTCCCGCACCGTAGGTTGGTCAAATCCGGAATCCCGAAAATACCCTTCCAGACCCTGTCAAAGTTCAGGAAAAGAAAAAGAAAGTTGTTGTCTTGTGTTCCCGTCCTCGATAAAACGTGAAGATAGGCACTTTCACGTTGTAGTAGTGCAACGACGGCTAAGAAACGTACAAAAAAGCGTGATGCACGTGCCAAGTTGTTGTTTTGCTAATCTAACCTATTGCCTTTTTGCTGTTCCCGTCGTTGCTTAACCTCCCTTTTTTCACTCCCAGAACCAATCATGGAGACATGGTGCGTTCTTCTGCTTCTCAAGGGTAGCAATGAAAGCTCTCTTGTCGCATAGGCCCTGCAAAGGAATGAAACATACCGTGCGTGATGTTAGCCTTATAGAAACTGGTTAAAGCACTTTGTCTTGTGTGTGTTAACACTTACAAGTACGAAGTAACGTCTCAGTAACTTGAAGATATACGTCTCTCTCACAAAAAAATGTCGTATTATCCACTCCCCTCGGAACTTTCCAGCGATAATTTACAACTTGGGGGGCGGGGGGACTTTTGCCAGACTGCTTATGGCGCATATTAAAAATACTGCAGTATGAGAAATGATGCCCCCTGTGTGAGTTTGAGTTTGAGATCAACCACCACACCGGGGACTACGTTCCCTACTCTTTACGAACAGTGTGTAAGTTCTTTAACGTTCCACAGCATTTATGTGTGCAAGGTTTGTGAGACGTGGTCTACGGTTTATCGTCCTTATCCGATAAAGTTAAATTAGGCAATACAGTGGTGTACCTCTGCCCCGTGATCAAAAACGTTTTTCACATATATTGCAAGGTAGCAGGGGTCACAATCTTATCCCTTCAGTCATTCCCTCCAACATGTATTTGCTATGTGTTTCCTCACAGATCATAATACAACCAGTTGCTGGTGGCATGCACGGCGATCACCTCCCAGTAGCTCACACCTGCTTCAATCTACTGGATTTACCGAGATATCCCTCCACAGAAATGATGAGAACCAAGCTGAGCCAAGCTGTGGAGTACTCAACAGGCTTTGGGCTTGCTTAATTTTGTTATCTCGCAATATCAATCCTGTAGCTCATGAGTCAAGCCCATGGAAAGAAGATGAAAAGAAAGAAATGAAAATGGACATGAAAGTAAAGAAGCTGTTGAAATGTCTTGTGAGATGATATCCTTATTCCGCATCATGTTGCTGACTGTTTTTTTCATAGCAAAACCAGATGCTGTCCCATGGTTAGGCGCATCACATTTGTCATTGAAGGTTTTTCTTCTATGCCTGCAGCGTGTGTTTGCTCAACCGTAGTGTCTTGAATAGAATGGCATGATGAGCTGGAAGGGATGTGAAGAATGTTATGTCACATGTCACACAAGAGAGAAAAGAAAAGCTGTAGCTCCTCTACTCTGACGAGAAAAAATATGACAGAATTTGAGGCTTGGTAAAGAAACCTTCTTTTCCTGCCTATTTAGCTTCAAAGTAACAACAAAAACAACATTAACAAATACCATCTTAAACTGTACTCTTAGGAAGAATGGTGGCGTGGATCGAGAACTAGAAATAGATTGGTTAGACTTTTTTTACTAACAAAGAGGGCCAACACCACTGGCCCCCTCTGTGATGTTGTAAGACGTTGGCCTCCTTGAACGTTAGAGAAGAGCCGCTGTGTTATTGAACTGTAAATATTACCATGCAAAACCTTATTTTCTACCCAAGCATCAACATTTTCTCCATAGGGGTGAGCCTTTCTTGCACCCTGGTGGCATGACAAGGACGACATGCAGACGCTCAGAGCATGTGTCTGGAAGTGTCTCTGCTTTCAGCCGAAAACAATATAACGTTTTTTTTTTCTGGGAAGACCAAAAAGGATACATTTGTAATTATTGAGTGACACCTTATCTCTGCTTTGACCAGGAGGTATGAAAATGTATAAAATAAATGGGAATTTTTCAGAATATATCCCTACAAACCATAGTTTATAGAGGAGCCTGGTTTTGAAAGCCGGCAAACGTCAACGTTGAAAACAACGGTGCTGTAGTCTATGTTGGAAGCTCCCTGACCGTGCACAATCTTCTCAATGTTCTTTGTTCACAAATTGTGACTGAATAAATTAATGCGATGTTTTTATTAGTAGTCAGTAAGTTCAAAATGATAGGAATGCTATTGAACGTTGTGCACGGTAAAGTCCAAAAAAGCTAACAAAAACATATTACAAAGGGCCGGAGTCTAACGGGTTCCATAACCATTCCACTTTAATAAGTATCTGTAGACTTCTTGTTGAAAGTTTTACCTCTGTTGTTTTTCACTCTGCCAAAACGAAGCAGCCATAATCTCTACGGGGGCAATAAAAAAGCGGATCAATTTAGGTTTCCGGGAAACTGCCCACCTACCCGTCCCCTAAGCTAACATCAACACTTACTTCTCACTTAAAGCAAAATGATGGCTTAGGGGAGGGGTAGGTGGGCAGTTTCCCAGAAGCCTTGACTTTTTTCAGCACAGTTTGTCACTCTGCCAAAACGAAGCAACCATAATCTCTACGGGGGCAGTAAAAAAAGCGGATCAGTCTAGGTTTCTGGGAAACTGCTCACCTACCCCTCCTCTAAGCTAACATTAACACTTACTTCTCACTTAAAGCAAAATGATGGCTTAGGGGAGGGGTAGGTGGGCAGTTTCCCAGAAACCTTGACCTTTCTCAGCACAGTTTGTTAACTATTTGGCAAACAATTTTAGAGACGTTTTACATGTAACACGTTGATTGCAATTATAACGTTAACAATCTTTACATTTTTGATCGAAAAACGATTGATAAAGATACCATGAGAATCAAATTGTTCTAAACGTTAGGGAAATAAGTCGTACAAAAAATACGTTAAAACAAGGCCTTTTTTTAAAGGCCTTTTTTGACCTCCGTCTTTTTGAGAGGCGCGAACATAGTTTTATCAAAGTTGTAATCATCCTGCAAGCAAACGTAACGTACACGAAATAGGGAGTCAAAAAATAGAAATAGAAAGAGTTTGTGTGGTTTCTTGTGCATGCATTGCTGCCATAATTGCAGTTCAGCGACAAGTATCAACTCTTTTTTGTCCTGAGCTGTAAGATCTTAATGCCATTTCACAGCGGTATATTTTTGTTACTTTAGAGTAAAATAAATTTGCATTTCCTTCTGAACCGTTTGTCTAAGAAATGGCTCTCAGACTATTAATACGACACTTTCTTGACTCCGGCTCATAACAATCCTGGTCATTGTGGAGAGAACAACAGCAGAACTAAAACTCGATGAAAAAGCGCTGAAACTACCAAATAAGCTAAGACTGAGCACATCATGAATAAACAAGGAGACAAGGTTTTTCCCTAAATAACGATCCCTAAAATCCCCATACAAACCTAAATAATATTTCTGTTACGTATCAACGACCACTCGTGAGATTGGGGTACCTGTGGTTCAATGCCTCTTTTTCGTGATGCTGAAGATATTGCTCAAGCGAGGGAGACTTCACGTGATGCTGATTGGTCAATTGTCGTGATGACTTATAATACTCTACTTTCATCTCAAATACTACCGGTTGCTATGATAGCTGAAAGTAACAAGCCATTTCTTCCAGAGACAAACTGTTGCTATGCTTTCCTTGGCGTCAAAATATTTTACCGTATGTATATATTTTAAAGTCGGTTCCTATGGTGATCTTGACGTAATAGTTTTATGCCGCCAACAATACTGTTGCCATGATAATTCTGACGCACATGTCAATTTTGCAGGGACGGCATTTTTATCAAAATCAAGTAATAGTTTTAATAATGATAATAATAATAATAGTAATAAACACTATTTGACTGTCAATGTATTTAGCTCAAAAGTATTAACTGACGACCTTGTTTTTACGTCTCCTATTGGAGGCGGGGCCGCCATTTTACTTGCTGATCCAAGCCAAGCGAAGGTCTAGCCGTTTGCAGGGCAAAGGCAGTTCCTTCATTTCTCACTTATTTTTAATAAGACACTGAGAATTGATCCGACCCTTTTGGTGTCGAACCCGCGACCTTTCTCCCTGCAGTTAACCGCTCTTAGCCTACCGCGATTATTACGTCGCTCTGATGTCCGTAATGGGAAAACAAAACATTTAGTATTGTAAGGCAAAGTAAAAACACCTTGTGATGAGCATTTGAATGTTTTTAAAGAAGGTCATTTCTTCTTTTTCTTGCGGCTAGAAACCCTGAAAAAAGCTGACTGGTCAATTGTCGTGGTGACGACTACCGTACTTGCGTCACAAATATAAGTTGTTGCCATGACAGAAAACTAGTTACTATAGCAACACTGTGGTAAGCCTTTTCTTCCAACGACAAACAAATCTGTTGCTATGCTCACCGTGATGATTTTAATGGCGTTTACAGTTTCTAAGCGTTCCTATGGTGAATTTGACATAATACATTTATGTTGCTAACATTTTGGGTATTTTTCACAGTTACTAGGGATTTGTTGCCATAAACAACGCGCCAAACGGGCATTTATACCTCAGTTGACCTCATGATTAACCGACAGTTCCTTCTCGGTGTTAGCTCGATAAAACCAGGTCCCATGAACTCCTTTGCTCAGCGACAACGGAGAAAAATTCTTCCTCGCCTGTTGTTTAAACAACAAAGTTCCAAGAAATGTAACTCCCTCAACAATGATGTGAATGAAAGGAAAGACCCAGAAAAGAAACCATCGGTTGAAATGACGAAGAGCAACTTGATATTGCTTGAGCAGATCAAAATATGCCGCGCTTTAGCAAGAGCAAATGCGACAACCATCTTAAAGAAACGAAAAAGGACTCCTACACCTGAGGAAATGGCCATTCGAAGGCAGAACCTTGAACGCATCTTTGATCAGCGACGAGGTGCTGTTTGCGAAGAAATTGAAAGAACTTGGTTTCTTAAAGGAGCATCGCTGCAAATACATCGACATAATTTGAAATGTACTTGTGAACTCCGCAAACGCGGTCTTGCTTTAGTATAATCCATTAAATAATGTATGCGTATAACCATCTTTTTGGCACACACTTATGACTCTCCAAGGAGTTTCAAAAGTATTTGCTTGAAATGTAACACAGCCAGGTTTTTAGACCAAGAAATTAGCTGCTGCATGTGATTTAATTGGCTACTTTTACATCTTTTTTTTGGGGGGGTCCGCAGTAATTGGCTTTAGCTGTTGCGGTGTCCCTGCCCAAATATTTAAGTTATTATTAGTGTATTGTTACGGTCTTATTTACTAGTGTTTGCATATCTTCAGTGTCTTTCTTTTTTTTTTTTTTTGTATTCTTCGGGGCAAAGCTAATAAAATGAAAAAAATAAATAAAACAGATATCACAAGCCGAAAGATGGACAAAACCAGGATAGGGCATACAAGTTGGATTCACGGTCTGTCGACGACTCAAAAATATGTAAGGTCTAAATTGTGATTTTCATCAGTTTTTTTTTCTTTTTCGGCGAATATAATGAACGCTTTTTGATACAATACTTTAGATATTATGTTATGTAGTATTCATTGTTTTTGTATGTGTATGTAAAGTTCACACAACAACTATATATTTATTTGGTAGATCGCGCTTTACAGCAATGCTTCAGCGGCAGTTATACCAAATTGGAAAATCGTGCTTTTGTGTTCAAGTTTTCGGACAGAATAGAAGATAGCACTCTGTGATATCGGTCAAAACCTCTAGTGTGTTATGTATTGAGCAGTCGGTTTTTGCAATTTAAAGTTGCCAGCAAGATATAATCGTTAAAATAAGCAAAATCTGTCATCCCTGAAATTAACGCCTTATCTTTTTTTTTTTGTTTTAAAGCGCTGTTTTAGGATTCCGTTAAACGCAATAAAGGAGTTTATACACCTCTGCAGGAGTGTAGCTAAATGTCGTGGGCCGTGTGTCGTGGGTGTGGGTGTAAGTGGTGGGTAAAAAAGTATAGTAAAAAATGATAACGTAAAGTAATTGAGAAAAAAATAAATAGAAAAAAGTTGCAAAATATTTATGAAACAGAAATCTCCGACTCCTTGATTGCCCTTTTCACGTCTTCTTCTTCGTCCTCTTCCTTATATTTCCTTAGCCACGTGGGACGTGGATCCCCTTTTACAACATCACTGTATAAAAGACATGTTGTTGATGAAGATTTATCCATACCTGAGCGATCGCCGCGGAATAAACGAAACAGACGTAAAATATGTCGAAACGTGCAATTTGCAGAAAGTATGGGACAGCTCTGACTCACTGAATGGAAATAGCTGCTTACTATATTTAATCTTTATTCCGCGCGATTTACAATTCCAATGATCAGCAGAGATTTTTTAACACGATGGAATGCGATCACCGTGGGAAAGGGAAGGGGAAGTGAGGGGAAAAAAGGACAATTTTGAGCTATTTTATATTCTTGGATAGAAGTCTTTCTTAAAGAATTTTTAGGTCTATTAGTTTACAAAAGAACCACCTTTATGCTCAACCTTTCAAATTAAGACTAGACTAAATGTAAATTTTATTGCCGTACTAAAATATAATTTTCTCGATTCTTTTTTGTTTGGTTTTGTTAACAAGATCTTTGCTGTAACGATTCTGAATATCATTCCTTAAACTGAAAGGACGTTTCAGTCACGAATGTTGACATCTTTGAGAGAAAGCAGTTCAGTCTCCAGTTTCTCTTTAGCCGGCTTCAGGTTTACATAGTGTACAGAGTTTAGTGTCACACACATGGTGAGGATCTGAACTCGACACGACCGAGAACATTAATTCAGAGTGTGATTACAGCGAGACTCGAACCCGGGACCTCCGGATTGCCTGACGGACGCGCTAGCCACTCGGCCATGCTACCTCCCTGTCTTATGCTTTTTCTCACCACAGACCCGTTTCTCCAAAGTCTCGCTGGCCCGAAAACCTAAAGAACAAAAGCGCGGTTCCCGAATCTAACAAATCGGTGCATTTTTTTGCATGCTGATAGTTCAGTCATATTATCTGCAAAACTATTGAAAGTTCGATTTTGAATGTAAAAGACAACAGCTTTTCGGACCCGATGAAAATAGGCCATTTGAACGATAATGTCATTTTACTACTATGAGCAGATGACAGAATCTTGAGGGGTTTGCTTTCTTGTTTAAGTTAGGGCTTTTGTGATTTAAAGCTCGCTGGGATTCCCAATTTAAATATGAAAGGAAAAACGAAAAGGATTGTGGTCGTAGTAGTGAAATGACGCCAACGTCCAAATGGCCTATTATTGGGAAGCAGGCCCCAGGAACCAATGAAAAAAAACGAGTCACTTCAAAAGAAGACTGAAAATGATTGTTCGCATAAGCTCCGAGATGAATAGAATTGTAGTGAAAATGATGTGCGCTTCGACAACCTGTGCGGAATTCGTTACTTGACCAATGT